AGAGGAGACCTTTGATGGTATAGTGTAATAGATCAAAAGCAAGATCCGTTTCAGGCCTTCGAAAAAGACGAAAACGTCTAAACATCAGGCAATAAAGATTCCACCTAAAACCGGGTTTCGGCAAAATAGTTGTAAACAACTGACACACTAACATGCCCCGGTTCAAGGATGAAAGAACATGGGGACTATGAAGATTCTATTATTTTACGCTGTTGGACAATTCATTTCCGTCCTTGTACAGCCATTCCCCTTTTTGAACTCTCAGTAAGACCTACGTGACCCAGTGACGCTTAAACCTGCCTTAAACCCGTGTGAACACATCCTCTACCAAAACTTCTAGCTATCTCCACATGTGTCAAAGGTTGCAGGTAAACGGCCTCAGCTTGGTAACAACGTCTCCCTCAAAACAAAGCTTTACCCATTTTGCTCCTCATCTCTAGCTGATCGTTTGTGCGTTTTCTGCTCGCGTTTACGATCATCTGGTCGATCTTCTCTCATCGAAGGTGGAAGCTAGAACAGTGTCTTGCAAAAGCCGTTAAAGTCTGGTGATAGGACTGCTTACCGCCGGGCCAACCTCCTCATCATCGAGTCCGCGATCTCTTCTTCTTGGTGATGTAGTTTCTTTGAGTGGTTCTTCCTTCTTTGACGGGGTCGGATCTCGCTTTTCTTTCGTTCGCACCTCTTTTCGTTCCTCTTCCCTTTTCTCTTTTGCTTCTTTGTACTCCTTTTTTTCTTCTTTGACTTCTTTAACAGGAGGTGGTTCTTTGCGTTCTTTCGTTACGCCATTTGCCGGTTTTTCTATAGATTGCACCCGAACCTAAAAGGTCAAAATCAGCTAACAAAGAATTCAATGATATGCCATTATAAGAACAAACTTGAAGAGTTATTCAAAAACAAAGCACCTTTTTGTGAGGCGGACTTGGTGGAACCTCGCCTTCTTCTCTTTCTGGCACTTCTTTTTTCACTTCCTTAACAGGGACTTCCTCTTTCTTCTCCTTTCTATCCATCTTCGGAATCTCTTTTCTTTCCGGAGTTTTCAACTCCTGCTCCTTTTTCTCTACCACTTTTCCTTTCTCTGTTCTTATTTTCTTCTTTGCGTCAGCAAGAGGAGTCGTCTGAAAAGAAAGAAAACTAAAATCAACTGAACTGTTTGAAATAACAAAGAGAATTTTGGCTACCGTAGCAATCCGCTTTCGATCCACACCTGGGCTCAGTTTTGAAGTATGCTTTACAATTGGGCGCTAAAAGGGTGAGGACAGTAGGAAAACTCATGAACTAGAGAAACTAAACTTACATGAAATTGTAACCCTTCGTAGACGGTTACATTGCGCATTTTCAGCCGTACAAGATAGCTTGCTGCTTTGAGTGACAACTCATCTCTCTTTCCTTTCTCATTATCGCGGACCTGTAATCATTATTAGATTCGACAATTTCTGAAGATGAAGAAAAAAGAACTAAACAACCTTCTCAACCATCTTTTCTATACTTTCCACCAGATCCTTCAGCAGAGGGAAGCATGGGGCCAACTGCAATAATGTAATTGTCAACAGGTGTTCACACTTTGTTTCTAGCTTTAGAGAGGCCTAACACAATCTTATAAATTTCACTACACGTATTTATTAATCACATCAACAAAGGTTAATGCTCGTTTGTTGTATGTTCGTCCGCCGAAGTGAAAATTCCCCCCTTGTCTATTAATGACTGTAGGGCAAGCAATAAATGCGTTGCAAATAGCCATATTGGCATAGTAATGACCGCACATGAGACAAAAAAGGGCTCCACGAACCGGCCACCCAATCGCCAAGCATCTTTGTAATCTTATGAACTGAATGTCACTCATTGTACGCATGAATTTGAAATACTACGTGAGATTGCGTATTGTTGTCAATTTCGCGCCATGTTCCAAGCCATTCAAAGCCTAGTACAACTTTTTGTGTCACCTCTCACTAGTAAGCGATCTGTTAAAATGGAGCAGAGACTAATTAGGAGAAGCTGACACGAATGTCGTATACAACTCTTGCATTAAAGAAATACCCGAACCTGTTCTGAGCCATATTTGGTTCAAACCTAATCGTTTTCAGTTTCTCGCTAAGCTTCAAGTTTTCTACTCCGCCTTTCTCAAAGAAGCGAAGAACAAGAAAGATTTGAACAGATATGACTTCTAAAATAGAGACACATGCACTTCCAAATCTAAAAAGCTCAATTTCGGACCTCAAAGT